TTCGCTGGGTCTTTTTTTCCTGTGCATTCCATGAGTTGATGACAATAATAGTTGAGATATCATTGCAACATAGATGTCCTGAAAGTCCTCTGGAGTATAGGTGCTCTAAGTAAACTACCAGCTTGTATATTCCAAGAGAGTTTCATGCTAAATTCTCATAAAATTAAATATGAAAATAATGACATTTCTTTGAGAGAACAAAATACTTTTGTTTAATTCTTTTTTTTAAGATTTTATTTATTTATTTGAGAGAGAGAGAGAGGTAGAGCGTGAGCAGGGGGAGGGGCAGAGGGAGAGGGAGAAGCAGACTCCCCACTGAGCAGGGAGCCTGACACGGGGCTCCATCACAGAACCCCCGGGGCTCATGACCTGAGCTGAAGGCAGATGCTCAACCAACTGAGCCCCCCAGGCGCCCCTCTTTAGTTTAATTCAACAAGCAATTCTGAGAGCTTCATTATGTTCTAGAGCACTTACATTCCCATGACATTTATGAAACACATGGGCAAAAATCCTCAGATGGATAGGTGTTATTCTTTTCACTTACTTTTATTTATTTGAGTGACTGTACATATTAGGACCTACTAACCTTTGGCCTACGCCTCACATTCACAAGTTGTCTCAGTTTTATACTTTTGATGTTGTCTCCAAAAGAGGTTCTATGTATAGTCACTGAGATATACTGGTAAAGATTAAAAGGAAAAAGTCATGATCATATAATTCTAAACTTGTGTTGCTTTACTCCTGTAGTGCACCGTGAATTGATATTTTATAAATCATATGTTTATCTTGTGAATAGCAAAATATCAACATTGCAAGATACACTGCATTGCAATTAAAAGAAACCACAATTTTTTATTTCTTGTTTGAGAAAGGTTTCATTTTTTTTTTTAAATTCACTGAGATCCTCAAAAAATGGAGATGGTCCAGGTGTCTCTGGATCTCTGGAAGACCCTGGTCATAACTGTCACTTTATCTTTAAGATGTGATCGTTTTAACAAGGGTGCCCAAACTAATGGGTTTTTAATAACTGTATAAACACCTAACTCACCAACTGCTGTTAACTAGCCCTACAGTTTCTGCTGCCATGAAGTCAGAAAACCAGCAGTCAGAAAAGTGACAGCTTCTAGAGCAGAGGTGCACAGCCCTGGCTGCTGATCAGAATCCCCTACATTTTCCCAGACCCCACTCTGGACCTCCTGATTTAGACTCTCCGGGACTGGAGTCTGGAGATGACTATGCTTAAAAGGGTCTCTTCCTGTCTTCTTTCCTCCTATTTCCTTATGGTTCCAGGACTCAGAATTCAAGCTAGTACTGTTTAGCTTCATCACAGGTTTAACAGATCTGAACGCTAATCTGAAGGTCAACCACCATTTTCAATGTAGTCTCTCTGGGGCAATGTGTTACAAGTACCCCAAACATAATTTAGAATAGAAGTTTGAGGATGCAGTCCACAGATTTTTGGGGGGAAATGAATACTTTTGATCAAAATACTTTCAATTACTCTTCAAATTTCTTATTGCTTACATATATGAAAGTAAATGCTGATTCGAAAGTGTTATATTCAAGTGTCCATTTTTATTTTATTTTATTTTTTTAATTTTTTTATTGTTATGTTAATCACCATATATTACATCATTAGTTTTTGGTGCAGTGTTCCATGATTCATTGTTTGTTCATAACACCCAGTGCTCCATGCAGAACGTGCCCTCCTCAATACCCATCACCAGGATAACCCATCCCCCTCCCCTTCCTTTTTATTTTTTAAAGATTTTATTTATTTATTTGAGAGAGAGAGAGCACACGTGCAAGAGAGAATGAGCACGGGGAGGGGCAGAGGGAGAGGCAGACTCCCCACTGGGCAGAGAGCCTGACATGGTGTTTGATCTCAGGGCCCCGGGACCATGACCTGAGCCAAAGGCAGGTGCTTAACTGACTGAGCCACCCAGGTGCCCCTCAAGTGTCCATTCTTATTAATAATTCAAAGTATTATGTTGACCATTCTCCTATACCTTCTATTTCTTCATTATAGGTCTGTACTATGATTACTGATGCTCCAGAGAGGATGATCCTCCTGTATCCCAGTAAAATTCCTCATCCAAGAGATAAAAATTTAATCATGGTCATCTAAACCCCAAACACACAAGAAAATATCTAGGGAAGTTGGGAACTGAAGAACAGGGTAGGGGGTGCCTGGGTGTCTCAGTTGGTTAAGCATCTGCCTTCGGCTCAGGTCATGATCTCAGGATCTTGAGATCAAGCCCCGCATCAGGCTCCCTGCTTAGTGGGGAGTCTGCTTCTCCCTCTCCCTCTGCCCCTCCTCTTCTTCATGCTCTCTCTCTCTCAAATAAATAAATAAAATCTTAAAAAAAGAGAGAGAGAACAGAGTACAGTCCCACCTTGCCCCCTGCCCCAATTCACTCTGGCTCACGTTCCATTTGGAGTGATTATGTCTATGGGCACAGAGGAAGATATGTTCCTACTTCTTACCTGAAAAGTGCAGGTAGATACTGAAGGCATCTTGACTAAGGTTATATTTATCCTTTGAGGAGCTGTAACCAGAATATTTGGACATGGACCAAACTCAGAAAAATCAAGTTCCAAAGGACTATGGTTGTGAGTAGTAGCAAATGGTGTTGTGTTGATAAATACCAAGCATAGTTATAAAGGTGGGGAATTTAATTGTGTTTCAGAAAGATATGGCTGTTAAGACTTTCTAGATGAACCAGAGAGGTGAGACAATAACTATTTAAGCGAAAAACCAACTTGCCCTTCCTTACTGGAAGGTGCAAGAACGAGAAAGATGATGTAATTAGGGCTTCCTGGCTGAGCTCCAGCCACCTATCTGAATGCCCCAGAAAGCAGCCACGATGCCATACGTGTTTTTCCCTCCTGAATTATCCAGATAATTGCCCTTTAGCCCCATACTCCGCTAACCCGGGAATAGAATCCGTTCATATAACTATTGAATGGGCTACAATTGCCACTTCAAATGAAAACCCAGGAAGCCAAATCCTAGCTGCCGTTGAAAGTGTATAATTAGCTCCTTGTGCAGCCTGACCCCGCTGATTTTTCTGACGCATTTGGCTTGCAGTGTGCCCTTTCTGAGACCTTCAGCATCTTCTCCACAGCTGGAGATGCCCGAAACTGCAGGGAACACTTCCTGTGGGTGTGGCCTTACATTTTTAAGGCTCCCCGCTGAATGGATTGCGTTTCAACATGCAGCTTCACTACGCTTTTTAAAATTCGGGAGCGGACTATGAGTGGCTACATCAGACATCAGAGGGTTCCCTCCTTTCTTTTTCTTTTTAAAAAAATGATTTTGTAATGATGTCTTCTCAAGAAACAGTATAATTGGTTAGCCTGGGGTACATTTTTTGTCCTCCCATACAGGGTCATTAGCTATTCTCAGGAGAGGAAAGGCAGGGTATGCCCCCTGGGAGAATGACAACACTTGTTTCAAGTTGGGGAAGAGCCTGTGGTTCTTTTCCTGAGTTTGGGGGAAAGCGAACACACAATGTTCATTTCCTAAATACGGGATGTGCTGTGGCTGGCAGGTCATTTTCCACCATGTCACATCCTTCTGGCTGAAGGCAGCAGGGGCTAGGACAGGAAATGGCAAATTCTCAGAATGAGACAAGGCTTTCCCAGGGCAGTCATTGGTTCTCTGGAACTATAAAACATGCTCATCCAGAAACAGCCTCAGATTTTTCTTTCCTGGAGATAGCCAGAAGTGAATGGTAAGTGGGGGAGCCGAGAGGGATTCTGTCTAAAAGACAGCCATTGGAATTATAATGCTGGGGTTACATTCTTGGTCCACTACATATTTTGTGTGACATTTCCTCATTTTGCTAAGAGGTGTCTTTGCCTGGAAATTTATCACTGGTGGATGGGATAATGGGGGCATGCAAATAAAATTAAGACCGAGGAGTCAGGAGACCAAGATTCTAGACGGTTCTGTGAAGACTCAGCTGCATCTAGACTGTGTCTGTCTTTCGATTTTCTCATCTTTCAGAGGAGAATAATGATTCTGCTCTGATATCTCACAGTATTGAAATGCTCTATTTCTGTGGCTCATTTGTCACTTTTGAGAACTTCCTGATAATGAGGAGTAGTACAGTGGATATGAAGGTGGGACTCTGGCAATTAGGAAGGATGCACCTTTACCCCAGATGTACAGTTCTCTTTCTTAATCATCTTCAATTGACTTCAATTCAACTTGGTACAAGGTAGCCCTCAGTGAGTTGTTAAACAAAAATGTTGGACACTTTATTTTATTCAGCTGTTACTCATTTTTTAAGGAAGATTTCATCATAAAGAAGCATAATAGTATTAATTTAATGCGATTTAGTTTTAGTTGTGCACCCACCAAAGAGTGAGAGTTAGAAAAAATAGCCCAAAGGACATCTTAGGCTTGATTCTAAGGTAAGAGCCTGGAAAATAACAGGCAGAAGAGTTGCTTCAGGGAATCATCTAACTTAGATTAGTTTCTTACATTTGATCGTATGACTTTTGAGTTCTTTGGTGACTTGTCTTTTTCACTCATCAGAGGGGGAAAAATGTATTGCAAAACTCGTAGGACCCAAGTCTTCACGTAAGGAAGGGGCTTTGTGAACTGGTACAACCTACCACCTGCAAAGTGCTCCCTTTCAAGCAGAGCAGAGGCCTCAGTATTGCAGTAGACTTCCAATGCCACCACGCCCTCCTCACTGAACTTACGTCTTACGGAACAGTTAATAAGTGCACCCTTAGCGTTCCCCGGGAGGGATGCGGACGAGAGCCTCACTCCCGCTTGCCATACGCGTTTTAAGGTCCCGAGAACTTGTGTGGCTCTTCCCAGATTCCAGAACCGGTCTTTGCGAACTTGACACACAGGCCTCGCCGGCAAATGACCGGTTTGTTTCCCCCGGCGGGGCAGCGGCCGTCGTGTCTAACTCGGGCGTGCGGGAGGCGCGGGCGGGCACGGAGGCTCCGGGCTAACCGCGCGTGTGTGTCCCCCGCAGGGCATGGAGCGGCCGGCGGCGCGGGAGCTGCAGGGCGCCGACGCGCTGCGCCGCTTCCAGGGGCTGCTGCTGGACCGCCGCGGCCGGCTGCACGGCGAGGTGCTGCGCCTGCGCGAGGTGGCCCGGCGCCTCGAGCGCCTCCGCCGGCGCTCCCTGGCGGCCAACTTGGCGGGCAGCTCGCTGAGCGCCGCGGGCGCCGTGGCCGCCATCGTGGGGCTCTCGCTCAGCCCGGTCACGCTGGGGGTCTCGCTGGTGGCGTCGGCCGTGGGGCTGGGGGTGGCCACCGCCGGAGGGGCCGTCACCATCACGTCCGACCTCTCCCTGATCTTCTGCAATTCCCGGGAGCTGCGCAGGGTGCAGGAGATCGCCGCCGCCTGCCAGGACCAGATGCGCGAGATCCTGAGCTGCCTCGAGTTCTTCTGCCGCTGCCAGGGCCGCGGGGACCGCCAGCTGCTGCAGTGCGGGCGGAAAGCCTCCATCGCCCTGTACAACTCGGTCTACTGCGTCGTCTTCTTCGGCTCACGTGGCTTCCTCATCCCCAGGCGGGCGGAAGGGGCCACCAGGGTGAGCCAGGCCGTGCTGAGGGCCAAGATTCAGAAACTGGCCGAGAGCCTGGAGTCCTGCACCGGGGCCCTGGACGAACTCAGTGAGCAGCTGGAGACCAGAGTCCAGCTCTGCACGAAGGGCGGCCGTGGCCAAGACCTCAAGATCTCCGCTGACCAGTCTGCCGCGCTGTTTTTCTGAGAACATCCTTTGCCCTCATGACCGAGGCCAGAAACCATGCCCCGGGATGCTCCAGATTTGTAGCTCCCTCAGGAAAACAACACCAAGTTGGATTAGGAGCGGAATGCAAAGGATGAGAAAAACTGTTCTTGAAATTGGGGGAAGGAGGGGGTGCTCAGAGCCCTTCTTTTGCCATCGCTGTGACATCCTGCCTGGGGTTGCGTGCTAGGGACTTTTTACTTGCCTAATCCTATGGGCTATGTGAACTGAAAACTATTTTTCCTTTATCAAAACCGTTCAGTCTCCACACCGGTGGGCACCACTGTATTAAAGTTGTTTCAGGGTCCCTGCCCCAGCCCTGGTGGTTTGAGCAGAGGCTGGGGATGCTGGGGGTGCCGCCACCCTCTGGGTCCTCTCCAAGCCCCACTAGGGTTTGAGGTCCTCAAAATGCTTGTGAGAGGAGACGCTAGCGTTAAAGCTTCTCTTCCAGAGTCTCTGAGTATAAAGAACTCCAGAATCCAGAGCAAATCAGGTCCCCTCTGAACTGTGTAGCCAGGTTCAGGACCCAAGAGGGGCCTTTCCCATTGATACGCGTTTCCCTCCACCTTCAGTGTGCCCCCTCTCAAATCCAGCCTGGGGCAGAGTGGATATTCCTGAGGGGTTTCATAGCCAGACCTCCAGATATTCTGGGAGGGAAACCGACTAAATGGTCGTCTGAATCCCACCCCCTTGCAACAAGCAGCTGAGGCCAAGGAAGATGAAGTGACTTACAACTTTACTTACGGGCATCCTAGTGTACAGAAGAAAGCAGTGGATTTGAGTTAGGTAGTTCTGGGTTTATTATAGGCTCTGCCACTACTATGGGACCTTGGCCACTTAATTCCTCTGAGACTTGGCTTCCTGGTCTGTGAAACAGATGTGAAAACGTCACCCTGTTGTAAGGTATTGAGATGAAGTGCCAAGCACAGTGTCTGGCTCAGGAAGTGTGGCCCCAGGGCATTAGCATCACCTGGGAACTTGTTAGAAAGGCACATTCTTGGACCCAACTGTCGACTTAAGGAATCAGACTCTGGAGGTGGGGCCCAGCAACCGGTGTTTAAACAAGCCCACGGCGTGATTCTGACATCTATTAAAAACTTAGGTTTTGAAGAGAACTGCAACAGATGTTCATTTCTGATCCTCTCGGGAGTCTTCATGAAGTCTCACGGCCTCCCCAGAGGCTCCATGGCCTTCAGAGTCGTTCACAGAAGGTCAAGGTTGGACAGGGTCCCAAAAGTAAAAGCAAGAATGTGCGTGGGATAGGCCATTGCGACCTGGGGCATTTTCCCACCACGTGAAGTAAGGGATATAACATAGTAACCCCTCTAGAGGGCAGTGTTGCCCACTCGTTGTAGGAACTGATACACAAAGGAATGTGAACCTAGTGCAAATTGGCCTTTGTTACCTACTCTGAAAACTGCCAGACCATGTATTTTTTTAATTTAAGTTTGTTATTTAATTGCTGTTTATTATTTGCATTTAATTGTATTTAATCACCACGCCACGTTTAGAAAATAATAGGAATAGCCAGTTTCTGAACAGGAGACTGCGGAGGCTCTTTTCAGGAGATGAGACTGAGTTTTGCCTTCCTAAGGTGGGGCATGAGCTGGAAATAGCTGGAAATAACATGGCTCTCCTTGAATAAGTCTCTCTCCAGGCGAGGGGAATTTTATTCCTTGGTGATTTGAGTGATCCTTTTAGGTAAATGTGGGAAGTTCTGAATAGAGAGACCACGGGACGAATTTAGGCTTATCAATGGAGGTTTGACTTGCGGGCTGTAGAAATGATGCAAACATATTTATCCTGAAGGTACTTTGCCAGCAAATAACATTTGACCTGAAAAGCAAACCTATTTTGTTCAGGGGAAAAAAAAAAACCTCAATTAGAGGCATGTGAAGGAGGCACTCAGACCATGGCAGCCTGATGTCTTGTGAAGTTATGTCTTGTGGATGATAGACAATGGCTTGTGTCATATTTTCACGTTGGGAGCTGTAAGGAATCTGTGAGCTCTCTCTAAGAAAATACTTATCATTTCTTCAATTTCCATTCCTACAACCGTAATGGTGAAAAATATGTTGAAAAGTCTTTGGGACCACACAGGCAAAACTTGGCTGGGTTATTTAGTTATTTAACATGCTTTAAATTAACCCAATCTACCCCTGTGTTTCCCAATGATGGCGGAGTATCTGAGGAACTACAATCTCAGCGCTGCGGGGAGGGCTTAGTGGCTCTATGTTTTTATTTTTCCTATAAATTGCAATTGGTCTGTATCCTGGTTTCTTTTGAAGTTGGTACTGGTTTCTTTTTAAACTGGTGTCATTTCTTAGACCACCTTGCATGAATGCTAGCATTTTAGATCACCAGAATGTACTTCACATTGTTGTCCACGTTATGTCTCAAAGGTACAACTACTCCCTAACTCCATCTTTTATTGATGCTTAAGTTTGAGTTATAGTCTTCCAATGGGTGTGTTGTTCCCTAGAAATAAACTGGGTATTTCAGGAAGCAATAGGAGCAGCTGTAGCAAACTTTTCCTATCGTTAGGGTATTTTAGGGATATCAAAATCATAAACTCCCCAAGTTATCATTTCAGTGGCCCCCTTTACATCTAAGGAAGGGTGTCTACTTTGGAACAATACTTTGCACATTATAGGAGCTCAATCCATGCATTTGAATAATTTAAAGAACTGCTTAGCTATAGAAATGGGAATTTGTTGGTAATGAAATGTTATCCATCCTTTTCTGTGTCTGATACAAAAAGTGGAGCCTCTACCAGGATTTAGTCAAGTTCAGTTAAATGGATCATAGAGACAAATATTTATTTATTTCTTTTGGGGGAATGCAAATAAGGCTTTTCCTTAAGGCCTTCATTCTATAAACAAACAGATTGAAATGGTATGTTGCAAAAGGAAGAAAAGAGGGGTATTTCGATTACAAGTATACTTCAGAAAAATGTCCAAGTTTGAAAAATAAAAGTTTTGTACTAAGATTTAAGTGCTTCTGTAAGCTTCTTGGGCTTATAATCGTTTGGGTTGTTTTTTTTTTCCACAAAAAAAAGAAGGTTTATTTGGTTCTGCATTTCAAGGATTCAGTAAAACTACATTCTGCTCTATGAAAAAAATGATCCTTAGCAAACATTCTGATCTTCATTGCTTTGACGCATTTGCCCTCAGGCACTTTCATTTCCAAGATGGCAAATGTCAAGGTGGAAAGTAGTTACTGGGAGAAAAAAAGAGAAGAGTGGTGTAGAAACCACCCTAGAGCAGATAAGGCAAACAATCAGTCAACTTGATATATTTCTCATTCAAAATCTTAGTGTGAAAAGGAAGTAGAGGGAAGTGAGACATTGCCATAAAACATTGTGCAGAGATAAATGGGGATACAGTTAAATGCAACAATTTCTGAACAGCACATTTTTTCCCACTATAGCAAAATAAGTCCTTTCCTTTCATTGAAAAAAAAAAAACCGGCCCATTCCTCAAAATTTTGACCTTTCTGTAATTAATTACCTAATCTCATGTCTGCCTGCATATGAATTAATAACTCTGAAAAGGGGGCAGATGTGTAATCATGTTCATTTAGAATATTCAGTGTTGAACCGTATAAATCAATTTTTAAAGAGTAATCAACTTCTATTACAAGAATTCTCTTATTATCCAGAAGTCTCAGCAGTTTCAAAACCTTTGGACATAATTGCAACGTAGGAATTAATTGAAAGGAAACCTAGAATCAGCCAAAGCAGCCTTTGCAAAACCCAAACACTGGAGAGAGGAAGAAAGGAAGGGTGAGGCAAAACTCTTCCAGAAATTTCCAGGAGACTTCACCTTGTAAAGTGACTGATCTTGACCATGCAAGGCCAGTTGGGAAATGTAGTATTTTTGCTGCCAATTAGCTGCTCCCAGTATACCTGGGATTCTGCTTGTAAGGAAGAAAAGGAGGGTGGACATTGAGTGGGAGGTCAGCAATCCAAACAGAGTCTGCAGTGGTTGCTGCAGTCTTTTTTGAGAACTTCTGCCCTGGACGGGCTCTCACTGAGTGCCAGCCTCTGAGTCTCCACCTTGGAAACTCCCCTGGGTCCTCCGAATGTTGCATGCACTATTAATGACTGTGCAGCCAAAAAAACCAAAACAAAACAAAACAAAAAACAAACAAAAAAACCCTGTGTTGGTAGGACTGTTTGCAAAGGCCAGCCACAAGCTGGGATCCTATCTTTGCCAAAGCATATGCTATTCCTGTCATGACAAGTGTCCTTTTAGTGATTTGCAATAAATTTCTCCTTGTTGAGTTGACAGGAGTTTGGGATGGGGCTTTTTGCTCCTGGCAAACTCCTATGAGAGAAGGTAAACCCTGCTGTGGTCTGGAATAGGACAAAGAGTGAGCCCCAAGATCCGGAAATAATCCCTGAGCGACCAGAGAGTTGTTTGGAGAGGGGAAATCATGCTGATGAACCAAGACCGCTGCAGGGGCTAAGAAGGAACATTAGGGCCCCTCCACACCCCCGATCCTGACTGGCAGTAGCATTAGGTTGTGGAAAGAAGGTCCTCCAATGTTCTCTTGCCTGCACAGGTAAAGCTTGGCTATACCAAACTACATCTGCAAAGAATGATGTTTAATCCCATTTTGTATTTCCAGTGTAACCCCAGGGCCAGGAGTGCAGGCAGGCCTGTGACCTGATTTGCCACAGAACTTTAGCAATGAGTCACAGTTGAGTCCTCTGCTTCCCAAATACACAGGGGTAGTCACAGTATGGCTTGTTCCAGCATTTGTGTGGATACAGTTGCCAAATTTACCCAATTTTTGTAGATGGAGTCAAGGAAGGGTAACGATGTCTCACATCTTCCCTTTAGGTTCAAATGTCTTTTTCCAGGCTCCCTGGTTGGCATGCATTTATTCTGCCATCCCCTTGTTATTAAAATTGTACTCATGGGGTGCCTGGGTGGCTCAGATGGTTAAGCATCTGCCTTCGGCTCAGGTCATGATCCCAGGGTCCTGGGATTGAGTCCCGCATCGGGCTCTCTGCTCAGCAGGGAGCCTGCTTCTCCCTCTGACCCTCCTTGTTCTCTCTCTGTCTCTCTCGCAAATGAATAAATAGAATCTTAAAAAAAAATTGTACTCATGAAACGTTGAAGAACAATACTTTGCTTGGTGCTTAAATAAAATGACATGTAGATAATAAATATAAAAGATGTGGATATTTAATGATAATAGTAATAGCTAACACTGATTGAGAACTTACTTGTTCTAAGTACAATTTCTAAGTATTATCACATTTACCTTACAAAAATCTTTTGGAGTGGACAGTAAGATTACCCCACATTATTAAAGAAAGTAAAGGAAGTGAGAGGTCGTTCAGCTAGCAAAAGGTGTCCCAGGATTTGAATCCTGGTAGCCTGACTCCAGAATTATGCTCTTTAGCTCTTCTGAGAGTGCGTATATTCATAATATAAAGTAATAGCTCACGATATTGACAAAATTATGTACAACAAGCTGACAGATTCATTCATTCATCCAGAAAATACGTATTGAGTACTAACCTTGTACTGGCTACTGTCATTTGTGGGCAATGTAGATGGTGTTCTAGATCTTACAGTGCTAACAATCCAGTAAACTAGGCAGGGAAATCTTATGCCAGTAGGTTGATCAATAAGAAACCAAAATGCAGCTTCTCGAATGACTAGTATTTGCAAAAAAACAATGTGGGTGTGATTTGAAAATGATCTAACTTCAGCCTAGATCATAAAAACTTGCACACAGATATTTTGTAATGCTGCCCCAGATGTCTCAATCACGGCAAGATCTTGTGAACAAAACGTCTAGAATGGAAGGACTTGCTTACTAAGAACTTTTTGCTAACCGCCGATATGCTGGGACGACATTGTCAGAGACCACACAGACATGCATTAAGAAATGACTGGTTCAACAGGCCTTTCCAGATCTTGTATAAAAACCTCTGGGGTCATTCCTTTGAAACCACCACTGACCCTGCTTGTCAGTTTTCTTCCCAGTAGGGGTGTGTACTCAATTCCACTGTGGTGGTATGGCCTCATACTGCTGGAGGCTAGTGGGAGAGTTGATAGGTGTGAGTACAAATAAGACCTTAGGTATCAGGAAACTATTCAAAATAATAATACTTTGTGGATGATTTGTTGTCATTTTAAAAAAAGATTTTATTTATTTATTTGAGAGAGAGAGCACGCGCGAGCGAGCATGAGCGGGAAGAGGGGCAGAGGGAGAGGGACAAGCAGACTCCCCACTCAGTGGGGAGCCCAACATGGGGCTTGATCCCAGGACCCAGACATCATGACCCGAGCCGAAATCAGATGCTTAACCAACTGCGCCACCCAGGCGCCCCCTCATTATTGTTTTTAAGACTTTAAGTATCTCCACACCCAACGTGGGGCTCAAATTCACAACGCCAAGACCACGAGTTGTGTGCTCTATTGACTGTGCCAGACAGGCACCCCTGGATGACCTGTTTTTGTTTTTTTTTTTTTAACATTGTTCTCTGAGTTTTGCATAGTAAACACAATCACTTGTTAGACTTTCATTCTTTCTAACTTCTCTGTAGCATTTGACATTGTTGATTAGTCTTAAAACACGCTTCTCTCTTGAATTCTGTGACACTGGCCTTTCTTATTTGCCTCTCTGTTTAGCTTCTTGATAGCTTTCTCTCTCCTCCACTCCTAAGATTCGAGGGTTGCCTGAGCCTCAGACCTGCCTCCGTCATACAGGCTTTCACTGAGTCCTTCGAGTCCATTCCTAGTGTCTCACAGTCTTGGAGTAGATGTTGGTATGGATGAAACCAGTGGCAAAGAATTCTCTTAGGTCAACTGGAATTGGTAGGTATCAGAAGAGATGCAAACAAAAGTGGAGGTCATTGGCTGAATAAAGCAGATTTCAGGAGCCTGTGCAGAATAGAAAGCCCTAGCTGTTTCCTCCTCAATGGGGTGCTACGCTTTGACTACAGCTAGACATGGTCTTGCTCTTAACCGAATGTCTAAGAGCACTCTCTCTGTCTCTTACACAGACTTATCACATGATGCCTTTTTTTTTTATTTTTTTATTGTTATGTTAATCACCATATATTACATCATTAGTTTTTGGTGCAGTGTTCCATGATTCATTGTTTGTTCATAACACCCAGTGCTCCATGCAGAACGTGCCCTCCTCAATACCCATCACCAGGATAACCCATCCCCCTCCCCCCCTCCCCTCTAGAACCCTCAGTTTGTTTTTCAGAGTCCATCATCTCTCATGGTTCGTCTCCCCCTCTGACATACTCCCCTTTTCACATGATGCCTTTTATTCAAGAGATTTGAACGCACGCAAGGCTCTTATGGACAGAAACAATATCTCAGATGGTGTTAAGCCTTCCCACTGTGTCTTTCCAGCTCCCACCCCAAGACAGGCTCCATAAGCACTTGTTGCATGTTCCCCGCACACCTAGAGCCAAACATATCCTCCTCCTCCTCAGCAAAGGTGGTGCAGTTTCACAGTCTTCTGTTCCTGCCAAAGATAGCATTGGGATCCCTTGTGCCTACCTTGAAATCTTGCTCTCATTTCCAAATCTTCTCTTTCCCCATCTCTTTGATAAGCCTATGCCAAGGTATTGCCTTTCCATTCAACACCTCTCCCCTCCATTTTGATCCTTTCAGGGTTACCACCGCCCACTTACCCCTAGCACCTGCAACGATATTCCAGCTGGCTCTCCTGATTTCAGGTTCTTTTCCTGCTCAAATTCAAGCAACCTTCCAATCCTTTATATCCTCCAATTCATTCACATGAATTATAGATTTCCTCATAGTCCAGTCTGATGGAATATAACCTTAACCTAAAACTTGACCCTGAATTTGAAGACACAACTCAGATCGAGTGTGCTGAGTTCCTGCAGTATTTTTTTTTTTTTTAATGTTTTTAACAGGGTGTTAGGATTGCTGAGACTGCAAGGGCGAAGATGAACTGGATTCTGCGGTTTTAATGAAAAAACAG